TTATTATTTCTATGTCTGAATTATGCCAATCTTTGTTTCGAAGATGTCTAGGTCTCTAAGGTAAAAATTGAGTTAAGTTTGTCCATTAATCAAGATTGCTCTTTATTTCAATATGTATTTATATTTATCAGAAACAAATTAAACAAACCATTATGGTAATACCAAACATTAGCAGTTAGACACCCCAATGAATCTTATAAATAACACGAGATACCATAGGAACCTCACTATATTTGATGATATATTAGGATTTTGTCATCATTTTATCCTGACATTATTAGGCTAATTTTAGAATTAGAAAATTCTAAATTCCAATTTGTGTGTAACATTTTCAGCTAAGATATGCTAAAATATCTAAAATCTGCATGCAAGATTTACAAAAATAATAAATATTTTAGGACAGCATTTGCTAAAAGTACATATTTTAAATATCCATTAATCAACAAACATTTAGCTTTTCACAAGAGCAACATCTGCAGTGGAAGTCAAAGGGGTCAGTCTAATGAAAGCAGAATTATGTCATAGCAATACAAACTCTGTCTCTTTTGTATTCTTGTTGTAACATTGCATGAATATCCAGAGGGATGGAGATTATGGCAATATTTTTTTTTACTTTGTCAAAAGCAGCATATGCTCATATTTAATAAATATAACTTTTACCTATTCTTTTACTGTCCAATTGAGCTAAATATTCTCTTCTTTCAAAATATAAACAATTGACTAATAGAAACTACTAGTGGATTTTTGTAGTCCAGATCTCTTAGGCCTAGTTTTATAAAACTGACAAACCTGGAACTTTGCTTGATTTGTTAGCAGTGAGACCAAAATAAAATATTCAGCTCTGTTGTTTTTATTTGAAGCAAGAAGAAAACACAAATCAGTGCTTTTCAGTGTCTTTAGTAACTCACCAGAAGTGATTTTTATAGTTTATTTAACATATGTGTGATATTGGGAACAATTAATAGCATAGTTAAAGAGGCTATTTAAATAGTTTCAGCTAACAGAAAATGCATGCTATCTTGTTGAAATCCCTTTATCTCAACATCATAAGCACTAATAGTTGTCACCTTGTACTATCGTAATCAGTGACAGCATCTCCTAAAAGTTAATGAGCCATAGCACAGTGAAAGGAATAGTCTCCAGAGAAAGAACTCACATCATTCTTAGAGTTATATTACTCTTCACAGAAGGCAGATAAGGTGCTAAATTGCCTTAAATATGCTAAGTGTTGATTCATGGAATATGCGAATTTAACTTATAATAGTAGAAAACTATAAATATGTTTAATTATATAACGGCTTACTATGTTAAATTCTTCCACTATATCTGGAAGTTTATTTAACTGATAACCAGGAAGGAAAATGTTTAATTTGGTTTGGTTGTATATATATATTTTCTTTTAATGACTTTGTAATCCATTGAATCGGGGTGAGTTGGAACAACTGAATGGAGTTGAGCATTTATTGGCCTGATGCCATTCCTGACACCTACACGGAGCTCACAGCAGATATTTTCTCTTTGTACCCAGAGAGAGAAATAACTGCTGCTACCTAGGATTGAACTCACAGCCTTATGATTGGGAGGTGAGAACTCCACCTCTAGGCCATCACGCCGCTCTTTTATTACACTAGAATAAACAACTAAAAGGGAGCACTGATTATGTTACCTAGTTTGGGTAATGGTACCTAGTTTGGGTCTGCAAGAAAACAAGCAAGCTCAGAGCACCAAGGACCCCTCAACTAAAAAGTGTACAAATTTTCACTTAGTGTAAGGTGACCAGACGTCCCGCTTTTATTGTAGTAAGCTCAAAACGAAAGTGAAACTGGCTGTTTGCTTTGCTGTTTGCTTGCAACGTTGGAAAATTAGGCAGCAGATTTATTTTCCTTTTCCTCACCAAAAAAGGTAGGTGTAAACAATGGGAAATTATTTAGGGCAAAAGAGGAGAGTTCAAGATTTTAAAACACAAAAGAAAAAAAAGCTCTTTTTAACTAGGGAATTGTAATAATTGAGATACTATTAATTGTATACTGTGTTGAAAGCAGAAATGGTTAAGTTGTGGTTTGGAGGAATATATGGGGGAAATTATTTGGTTTATTATTATTGGTAAGTATAATTAATTGATTTGTAAGAAATTGGATTGCATGGAAATAATTGGAATATTCATGTTCATATTGATTAATATACAAAAAAGATAGTTATATAACTAATTGGTTTATATTAAAATGTTGAATTTGTATTAAACAACTGTATTACATAATTACATAATTAAACAATGTGAGGATGGATATAAAAATAGATGACAATGGGAAGGGGTATAAAATAGAATAGAAGGGAAAAATTGAATTTGATTAAGATTAGAGATGAGGATGAAGGGTAATATTGTTTTTTTAAAAAAATAGATGAGGAATAAATATGGCAAAAAGGAAATATAGAAATTGTAAATTTAATTGAAATGACTAAACACTGTTTAAATTTCTGAACCAGCCAAATATTCTGTTCAAAGAAAATACATTGTATGTATGTGTGTTTCTAATTATTGCTATTTATTCATATTTGTTCTCTTTTATTCTTTAAAGTTTAACAATTCATTCTTTATCTTAATATCTTTATATTTGTTTGGGGTTGGCTTTCTTCCCTTTCATCTTTTTTATTGTACAGCAATCTTTCTCCTCAAACCTACCACCTCTCTTTTCTTTCCTTCTTACTTTCTCTTCTCCCCACCGTCTTTTTCTCCTCCCTACTTCCTCTTCCTTTCTCCTTCTCCTCCTCTCTTCCTCCCTCTCTTAACCGTCACTCCTACTCTAATTTCCCTTCCCTTCCTTCATCCCTCTCTATTACTGTATCCTTTTATGCATATGGACTACTCAGAGGGCTGAAAAAGTTATTTTTGACTGGTCCTCGCACTTTTGACCAGTCCTCGAACTTACGACTGTCCTCACATTTTACATTTTTGCCCTATCTTGTCATCATGGTGAAGAGAAGCAGTTGTGAAATGAGTGACATGGTTGTAAAGAATGCTGCACGGGCATAAATGTGAGGATGGTCATAAGTGTGAGGACCAGTCAAAAGTGCGAGGACCTGTCAGAAATGACTTTTTTCAGCCCTCTGGTTAGTCCTTTTGTGCATATGGACTACTCAGAGGGCTGAAAAAGTTATTTTTGACTGGTCCTCGCACTTTTGACCAGTCCTCGAACTTACGACTGTCCTCACATTTTACATTTTTGACCTATCTTGTCATCATGGTGAAGAGAAGCAGTTGTGAAATGAGTAACATGGTTGTTAAGAATGCTGCACAGGCATAAATATGAGGATGGTCATAAGTGTGAGGACCAGTCAAAAGTGTGAGGACCTGTCAGAAATGACTTTTTTCAGCCCTCTGGTTAGTCCTTTTGTGCATATGGACTACTCGGAGGGCTGAAAAAGTTATTTTTGACTGGTCCTCACACTTTTGACCAGTCCTCGAACTTACGACTGTCCTCAAATTTTACGTTTTTGCCCTATCTTGTCACCATGGTGAAGAGAAGCAGTTGTGAAATGAGTGACATGGTTGTTAAGAATGCTGCACGGGCATAAATGTGAGGATAGTCGTAAGTGTGAGGACCAGTCAAAAGTGTGAGGACCTGTCAGAAATGACTTTTCAGCCCTCTGAGTAGTCCCTATACACATAGCCATGGCCACCCGGTCACATGACCAGCTAGCCACGCCCACCCAGTCACATGGCCTCCAAGCCACGCCCACACAATAAGCCACGCCCACACTGGTGTCCTTCTTACCAATGTTAAAATCTGTTCACCTTACCCTATACACATAGCCATGGCCACCCGGTCACATGACCAGCTAGCCACGCCCACCCAGTCACATGACCAGCTAGCCACGCCCACACAATAAGCCACGCCCACAATGTCCCTCTTTACCAATGTTAAAATCTGGTCACCTTAACTTAGTGTAGAGACTGGGAAAGATGACTTTAGCATAAATTCTCTAGAATCATTATCTAGGCAAAAAGGAGTAAAACATTTTTAAGGCCTGGAAAACAAGATAATATTCAGAAGGGATTCAGGCAAATGTCTCCCTGATTTACAGAGATATGACAAGGGCAGTGGAAAAGAAAGTGACCTAGTATGAAATTATTTACTATTTTTATATATTAAGTAATCAGACTTTACAGTATATGGTTTGGTTATGACTGTTGTTATGACCCTGAATCAATCTCTATATGAAAGAAATTAATGTGTTCTTTACTTTGTGTCCAAAAGTTATAATTTATCAAAATATCATAAAGTGTAGATTAGGGTGGGGCTAAAAGAATTATTCAACACTGCCAGGAAAAAAATCTATACTATATTTTCAGCAACTGCTTATTGGTATGCATTGTTTGTTTACATTAAAGGATAGTTTTGTTGTTATTGTTGTTTGGGTTTTTCTTTTAACAGAAAATCAAGGAAGAATCATTAGAGCAAACTAACAGCTTCAAGACTTTGCTTACATCAAACTGGTGATGTATAATGTATACTACCTACGGGAGTAAGACATACAGATTAGCCACCAGAATATGCTAAAAAAGCTGTTTTATAGATTTTTGGCATCCTAACCATCCTGGCCAAAGAAGCAATTCAGCTAAATTATAATACCAGTATCAGTGTATAATGGGTGAACTATGGAAATTGAATTTCACATAGTCTGAGGATTTGTGTGTTAAAATTGAAACCCTTTGTCTGAAATTGGTAAACATCTATATTGGTGAAAATACTTGCATCCTAATCTAGAAATTCTTTTTTATTTGAATGAATTTACATTGAGTTCTTATAGTAAGAATTTTCTTATCTATTACATCAAGAGCATGAATAAAAGAATAGATATCTACACAATGCATCCTGTAGAAATTAATGCATACATTTCAGATAGTAGCACTGTCAGTTTGTTGCAGCACACACAATCAGACAATTCAGCAGGATTCAAAACGTCTTTATATACATAACAACACATAAGGCATACAATACCCTTGTAGGTTTTTCCATGTTGTAGAGAACACAAATAGCAAGTACAAACACAGCACAAAATGGCAGCACAAAATGGAGAAGGCAAAAATGGAGGAGTGAGAAGCTAGTGCCTTCAAGTTTATATACAGAAGAGTTTAGCCACACCCAGTCTCCAAACTGTCTCTTATGGCCCCATAAACAAATACTATGTTTCAGTTATCAAACAGCCTTCATTGGCTGACCTGTTGCTATGCCCTATTCCAGTTCATAAATATACTGACACTCCTCCCTTCATAACTGGAACGGACATAAAACTGAATAACTTAATATTCTTCCCATGGTGCATTCCACCCAATGGCTTGGTCATTATGTCTGCCAGATTGTCCTCTGAAGAACAATGAAGCAAGCAAATTAATTTACATTTGATGGCTTCTCTTACATTACAATATTTAATGTCCACATACTTGCTTCTATTTTTTATTCTGTCACCTGTTGCCATTTTAATGCACTTATGTTACAGCATATTTTTACATTTTCTTGCGCCTTTGCAATTAAATGTCTTTTTGAACAAAGTGTTTCAGAGAGTAATCATATTAGATGGAGCCATGGCTACCAGCTACCAAAATTAAATTTTCAAGATTTGTGGATTTATTGTTTCTTGAAATGTCTATGCTTGCATTTGATCAATTTTAATACTTTACTTGCTTTGTTCCATTAAAGATATAAATGTTTTAATTACAGCTATGTAATTAGGCATTTTTCTCTATCAAATATTTGAAGCAAAACAGCAATAACAACTCAATAGCTTCTTTTTTATAAACTATTGTTCTAATTAATCCATTTGAGACTATTTGGTGCAGGCCTTGCAAATTAGAAAAAGTTTTCTCTTCATTGGAGGGATTTACAAAGCTGTCTGGAATACCAGTCATTTTTCACAAGTCACATATCATATTGATCTATACTGAAGCGGATGCACTTCAGCTTCTATGCAATAATTTGGTGAAAGATTGTACACAGCTGGCATTTGATATTGGTTATATTAGAGTACATATATCACAATGATATTTTCATACTTAATATGGTAGGCATGTAATAAAGAAAATTATATGCTTCCAGTATAAAATTTTCACTGATGTACAAATAAAGAATTAAATAAAAATCTAAATAAAGAATAGTGAGATATCTATTTATTTAGACATCAGACCTTAAGCTGAAAAATAAGTAACTTATTATTTATTTAATTTTAGCAGCTGAATAATAGTTGTTCAACTATGGAAATAATTCAAATAAAGGAAAATCTTAAACACCCTTAACAATTGAGTTGTATAACAATAAGTCTTCAACTGCTATAAAAGCTTACAGATGAAGTCAAAATAATGAAACATCGGGGCAAGAACCAAAATTTTATGAAACCTGGGCAAAATATTTAAGTATAACAGATCTATTATTTGTAATGACGCATAGTGAAAATGAAGGGGTTTATTATGTCTTTCTGCCTACTATTTATTTTCCACCATTTTTCTTTTTTCCTTTTATAAATTTATTCAATTATTACAAATATGTATTGACTGTTTAATTAAAAGAAGTTTGAAACATGCTATCTGCTATCAGTTAAAAATCACATTTTAATGCCTACTACCTAATTAAAATGTTATGTCTATACTTTGATGACAACTTGGGTCTTCCTTTGATGATAGTGATGACCGTTTTTTGTCATTGTTGCCTTGTTGGAATATACAGTACAGAAAAAGTAGAGTGACTTAGCTCTCAACTCAATCAGCAATCAAAATGTTCAAGTAAATTTGATTTGTATTTCAGGAGTTCAAACAATTATTCAAAAATATCCTTGAATATAGATAATAGGTTATACATCCCACCTGCAGTTTTTCATTACTATAAAGCTTTTTTCTCTTGTTCATAAATTACATGAGAAAAAAACAATGTCAAACTACAATCAATAATTTATACTTCTTATCCTGCCTATATTATGCAAAATATGTGGACTTATGAAGAAAACCAATTCATTATTCCATTATTTTTGGCTAAAGTTTTCTTACTGATATCTTCACCTTGTAATAATAATAATAATAATAATAATAATAATAATAATAATAATGGTATAAGTTCATATTAATGCTAGTAGCACCAATTGACAAAAGGATGATATAGAGATTACCTTTCTAACCTTCTGCCCCTGGGAATAAAGGAACTGGCACAAGTTATTTATACCTATTACTAATTTTTCCAAAAATATGTTTAAGAAGATAATAAACTTGGCTTTTTCCTGATCTAGGGCTGACAAACAAATAGTGCTGCTTTAAAGCCATATTGTCTGGGTCCAGAAAACCAGTCACAATGCTGCACTTTCTCTTTCGTCATGGCTATTCCCTCACAATCAGTAGTAATTCCATTTATACCCCATCCCCAGTGGCAAGAAAGAAACTGCACTTCTTTTTTTTAACAAAAATGTCTTCCTATTTGTCCAAAGAGATAGAAAATGAAAAAGGAAAAACTAGAAGAGGTTGTATCACTTCTACCTGTGTTTAGAGACTGAAGTTATATTATTACCACTGAGAATCTGGTACCAGAGTCTCTGTCAGGATGTACTATAAATTATACAGCATTTTTCATTTTTATTTTGGCTATTGATAAAGAAGTGGTATGTGTTTGGGGAAAGTAAGCTGTTAAATATGGCTGTGAGAATTAAAGTAAAATATTAATTATAGGCATAAAGTCACACTTTTTCCATCAGAAAAGTGGGTGGAAATGTCTGTGCATTTTATAGAGTGAATATTGTGATGGGGGGATGGCGTTGGTGCCGCCTGCCACCACCACTGCCAACTGTCACTGCTGCCACCATTCACTGCTGCCAGACAATGCTGGAGCCTTTGCTGCCGAACAGCTGATTAGCAGTTGGATTGTCTTCCTGGAATACCGCTGATCAGTTGTTCTAGGTGGCAGGGATTGCCATTTGCCACTGCTTCCAATCCCCACCACCTGCAACAGCTGATAGATGGTATTCTGGGAGGCCGATCCAACCGCCAATCAGCTGATCATCAGCAAAGGCTCCAGCATTCCTCAGCAGTGGCGAATGGTGGCAGCGATGATAGGCAGTGGCAGTGACAGGCATCGCCACACCACACCACCCGCAATATTCCCACCGCAATATTCGCTCTATAAGACGCACAATCATTTCCACTCATTTTTTTGGAGGGGAGTGTGTCTTATAGTGTGAAAAATACGGTAGTTAAATGAGATCTGATACTGGTATTAACAGTACAGTTAGGCAAGCTGCAGAGGCCATTTAACTCAGATTTCAGTTTGAACTTAGTGTTACTCTCCTGGCACTTTTAGTGGTTGTAAAAATACTTTAGTCCAGGGGTGAAATGTTACCGGATTGGACCAGCTGATCTGGTAGCGATGATGGCCGGTACTTCAGAGAACCAGTAGCAATGGCAGCTGGAGGCTCCGCACACCCACCCCATTCCGCGGAGTCAGGGAATGCACAATTCCCTGACTCCAGCCTTGCCACGGAGCTGCTGCCTACTCGCCCTTCACTACACAGTGTATCCTACTGCTCACCTTTCTCCCACGGCTGGCTGTCAGGGAAGGCAAGCATCCAAAAGTTTTTGGGGTCACTCACTCTCCTTGAATGAGTCGCCACCATCGCCACTCTGGCCCATGTGCCGGCTGCACAAGTGCACACCATTTATTTAATTCATTCATCAGCGGCAGGTTGGGTGTGCGCTTGCGCAGCCAGCGCATGGACCAGGGCAGTGATGGTGGCAGCTCATTTAAGAAGGAGAGTGAGTGACTCCAGTAACTTTTGGGCGCTTGCCTTCCCTGACAGCCAGCCTCAGGAGAAAGGTAAGGACATGCCACTTGATGATGAGAGAGTGGGCAGCGGCTCCAGGGCAAGACTGGTATCGGGGAATGGTGCATTCCCTGACCTGGTTGAGGCAGGCGGCGAGCAGGTGACGGCTCCAGGGCCCCAGGGAATGGTGCATCCCTGGGCCCTGGGCCCTGACCCAAAGCAAAGAGAGAGCGGGTGGCGAGTGGGTGGCAGAATAGAAATTTAAAAAGTTTTCCTACCAGGTTCTGTGGGCATGGCTTGGTGGGAGGGGGGTCTTGTGACTGAGTGGGCGTGGCTGTGAGTGACATCGAGTTGACCATGCCCACTCAGTCACAGGAAACCCCACCACCACCAAGCCACGCCCGCAGAACCAGTAGGAGAAAATTTTAGATTTCACCCCTGCTTTAGTCCCCAAGTTGACTTACTTAGGACATTAAACCAAATTTATGCCTTCAGGAGACTGTGCAGTTATAAAGCAGGGATTAAGATATGAGACATCATCTTTTCCTTAAAATTTCAATTCATCATTAAACTACCAAGCAATTTTAAATGGGTCAATGAATTTTAAAATTAGCACGGCAGACATTTCAAAATAGGGTGGTTTAAAGTTTCAAAGAGGTATTGACTTTGTATAAGTATGTTCTCAAAATTGCTTTGTAAAGCCTTTTCCAGCAATTGCCAGAAAGACAAAAAAACAACAACAACAACAAAAAAAAAACAGTGAGGCAATGGCCTCCTCCATCATCACTTTTTGTGACCACATGCTCTTACAAAAGTACAGTCTTCCACATGCACAAAAATATTTTACAGGTTTCTGCAAATTGAGAGGCACTGCAAGGTAATAATAGTTACATTATTTCTCTTTGCATGGACAAAGTGAATTGTGATACCTTCACAACACAGCTATTTATAAATTAGATTAAATCAGGAATGCATCAGATTAAGAACATAACTAATACCCATACCTCTTAAAATAATTGAAATGATCAGTTAAAACTTAATGCTTAAGTATTGCTGGTAGGGAACTGATGACAGAAGATTGAAATGAAATGCTTTCACCTAAAATTATTTATTGCAAGAGAAAGCATGGTATGTTTTTATATCCAGACTGTGATGGAAGACAATGTCCATTATAAATTTTAACTTCCAGACCGAAGGTTTGCAAAACCAGAGTTATCAAAACATTAAAAGTAAGAACACTTTAGTAAACAGTTTAGTAAAGCCTAAACTAACTCAGACTAACCCAGATAGAATATA